ATTCTAACCAATTATCTTACATTTGCATAATATGTAATACTAATTTGTATAATATTTTTTAGATATATAACACAAAGTAATTTTACATAATATGTTTCATATATATAACCACTAATTTGTAATAAATTTCATATTTTAAATGTTTTTCACACTCATTTTTACATTGATATTTCATTGAAAGTTAAAAAATATATATGTATTAACTTGAGCGGAGCGGAGCGGTTCGGTTGGCGGATTATAAATTTTAAAGTTTAAACCACGATTAGCGGTTAGAGCGGTGCGATTTTAGCGGATTGGGCGGTATTTTGCACATCCCTAGGTGATACACTCCTATAGGAAAAAATCACACATTTTTAGTGCTTAATAGTAGTTGCTTTGAGCCTTAAAACTCTTGAGATTCATAGCATAGGGAGTGGTTTTTTATATTTTGTTTCCTGACTCTTGGTATTGTAATTTCTATGATTAGTTGGTCAATAATAGTGTAGTATGCATTTGTCTTTGGAAGCTCTGCGATTGATCCGAGGTGATAATAGTGTTTCATGATTCTTTCTACCATTGTTTCGATGTAGATAAATTCATCTCTCTCTCTCTCTCTCTTTCTCTCTCTCTCTATCTCTGGTGGTTAAGGAAGAATGGAACAGTCAATTTTATTTTAGATAAAATTGATATGAAAATTGATAGAAATGAAACAGAAAGCTTGTTAGAGATATTTTATGATTTTTTTTATTACAACAAATAAAAAAAAAGATTTTAATTGATATCTCCTTATCTGACAACTAGAGAGAGGGACAGATAAATACAAAATTTCAATAGATAAAATAATTCGACAATAGATAAAGTTGGTTTGTTAGATTGGAACAAAATTTGAATTGAAAAGATCAAAAATGAATAGATAAGGGAAAAAATTGAACAGATGGTCAACAATTTGAACAGATAAACAACAAAAAATTAAACAGATTTTAAATAAATAGAGAGAGAAACCCACCAATTTTGAACAGATCGGGAAAAAATACAATAGATTGATAAAAATTTGATCAGATAGTCAAAATAATTTTCATAGATAGAAATAAATTTAAATAGATGGATATAAATTTAAACATATAGTTAAAAAAATTCAATAGATAAAAAAAAGTCAATAGGTAAATTAAGGGGTAAAATTGAAAACAAAATATCCTTTAAAACAAACAAAATAACTTCTCACCAAACTATTTGACAAATAATAACTCTCACCAACAAAAAAATATAGGGAACTTATTGATAAGTTTCATACACAAAATTCAAAATCCATCTAGTCCCAAAACAAAACATTTGCACCAATTTGTCTTATATATTGTTAATTATTACCAAAAAAATCTTTTTTTTTATTTTATTTTTAAAAACACTACTTCATCCTACCACTGCCGAACTTCCATCAGACGTTCATCGAAGAGTTGCTGGAATGTTCAACATCAATAAAAACGAGCCAGAATATCATCGAAAATTGGTGGGAGTATCACTGGAATGTTCTGAACGTCACCGGAAGTCGTCGGAATGTCTAGAATGTTCGCTGAATGTTAAGAATATTGCCGGAGACTCACTAGAATGTCTAGAATATTGCCAAAAAAGAAGAAGAATAATAAACTGATAAATTAAAGTGAAAAAACATAGCAAAATATGCTAAATATTAATCAACTGAAAGAAGAAAAAAAAAAATCTAAGAACAACAAATAGCAACAATGAAAAACACATATGTTATTTTCAATTTTTGTAGGGTTTAAGCAAATAATTTTTAATATTGATCAAATTGAAAAGCAAGTTTTGAAATTGTAAAATGTTACAATTTCAAAGTATGATTCTATTAAATATTTATCCTTATTAATCAAATTGAAAAGCATATTATGAAACTGAAAAATTTACAGTTTTAAAGAGAGTTATGAAATTGAAAAATTTTATAATTATAAAGAATGATTCATTTCAGCCCCCCAAAAAATTGAAACTGTAAAATTTTACATTTTTCACTATCTGTAATTAAAATTCGAAAATAACTTGTTCAGAATTTGAAAATTTTCTCCATTACAATAGGAAAATAAAAGTGTATAGTATAGAAAAGTATTAAAACTAATAGATCGAAGGAAATAGATAAATATAGTGAGATACTTGTACTCCGACAACCATTTTTTGGTTTAGATCTAACCTGATTTAATGTAGATCAATATCAAATTTGAGTAGATTTACTCATCTTCTTCGTCGAAAACTCAACTCTTTCGCCGTCGATAAGCACGAGGCAAAGAATTAGTGCTCGGTGGTTGCTCGTGAATCCCAATCAATGGTGACTGTCGATTGTCGGTCATCGGTGACTGTAGATTAGAAAGAGAAAGAAAATAAGAAGTCATGGTTGTTGTTGTCGTCGTCGCCAATATTAGAGAACGAGAGATAAAGAGAAGAAGTAAGGTGTATGAAAATGAGAAGATAAATGAGTATAGGACTTTTGAGTCTATCTAAAAGGTTTTGGGATTAAATAGAATAAATACATTTAAAAAATGACTTATGGGTAATTTGTCCTTCCATTAAACTTAATGCTTTATACCATCCTTAAGTTGGACTTTTCAATAATTATCTCTAATTTAAATAATTTTTTTAATAATTCATTAGTTTTCATAATTATTTTGAACTTCACAGATGCCTTTTTTTTTTTTTTCTTTTTTTTTTCTTTTTTTTTTTTTCTTTTTTTTTTTTGGCGTATTATGTGACGACTAAAAAAAGAAAGTAGACAAATATGAGTAGTTACAACAAACATTATTTGGGCTTGACAAATGCCTTTTTTAATGTATTATATGAAGATTGAAGAAAAAAAAGATAGTGTACAGCTCAGATTCATTATTGAGAATGGAGACCGTGGACCAAAATTGTGTGACACGCTACCAATACAACGAAGGATCCTATTCTCTAAGGAAAAAGGAAATTTCCATCCCACATAAAATTTTAGGGCAAGGATTCTCTAGAATTTTTTTTTTTTAAAATTTTTTAAAGTGGTGTGTTGTATGGTTGAGATTTAATGTAAATCTCTCCCATATAATACACCACTTTAGAAAACTTAAAAAAAAAAAACTTTAGAGGATCCTTGGTGAAAATTTTAAATTAAAATGTTAGTAAGTTTTAAATTTTATAATAATATGATAATAATAATTTTTTTTTTTTTTAATAATGTGTTATAATCTCATGCATTGATTTGTTACTAATGACATGCCTACAGAAAATAAACACATTAGATCGGACGTATTTTTTAAAATGAGTAAATAAAACATAAAATTTAGCATCGGTTTGGGAAGAAGAGTTGGGTTGGAATTGGGGTTATTTTAGTCACAAAAAGATAAAATAAATTTTTTAGTTTAATAAGATAAAATATCACATCCAATCTATAATCATTACATTTTTTCTCCTATAAAAAATTAAAAAAATCAACAAATCCTTCCTGAACGAAAATTTTAATTTCATACTAAATAATCAAAAAATTAAAAACACTAAAAAATCAATCCACTTTCCAAAGAAAAACCTATACTTTAAAAGGTGAAACCTACTTGGCACACCAACGGTAATAAATGGCCCCAACGCCTCTGCTCCACCTTATACTTCAGAAGGTAACATGGATTTAGCAGGAAACTCGGGCCTTGTTTGGTTTGTATTTCTTAAAAAATTTTAGAAAAAATTCTCTATAAATAAGTTTTCAAAAGTAATCAAATCAAACAAATTTTTTTAAAAAAATTTTCCAAAACTTGTTTGGTTTACAAGTTTTCTAAACAAATCTCTCTCTCATACACATCAAATCAATCACTTTTTTCAAAACTCTCTCTCAAAATAATTTTCCAAAACATCTTTTGAAAAAAACCAAACCAAACAACTTTTCGTACTTTTTATCTCTAAAACTCGTCTCCCATACTCAAACCAAACAATTTTTCTTCTTTTTGTTTTTTTTAAACAGTGAAGTGCAACGGTAAAAAATATTGAATTTCAACCATAACAAACCAATGAAAGTCAATCATATCTACTATTTTACCGTTGCAAGCTTGTTTTTGGCAATTTTTTTTTTCAATTTATTATCCATACATTTGGAGTTGTGTAGTAAATTTTTTTTTTAATCATTCACATTATGAATTATCCATACTCTCAATTTTCATACGTTTAAAAAATATTTTTATAATTATGACACTATTTTAAATGGGATTAAATATCTTTCAAAATTCATTTTAATTAGTAAAATAAAAGTGTTTAGAAATTATTAATGTAAAAAAAAATAGAATAATAAATTTGATATACAAGGTGAGAGCTTTCTTGTAAGAAATGTAAGCCTTCAAAAAAATTTACATACCAAAATTTGATATATAGGATGGAGATGCTCTTAGAATTGTAGACACTATTCAAAAAGTATATAAAATTATAGACTAGTATTTTTAATCAATAAAAACTTGTGTTTGTTTACACTTTGATAGTATGTGAATAAGATTAAACTCCATTAGACCTCATAACTATTTAGCTCAATTAATCCAATTTTCACAAAGAGAACTTGGGCCTATTTAGTGCTGCTTTCCCCCATGCTAATAATTAAAAGAGCAATGTTATGTGTACTAAATTTTGACTTGTTAGAATCGCCTGAATTTGTACATACCAATCATTCGACCAGCAATCTGACGACAAAGATGATAACCGTGGCTAACAAAAGTTACATCAGTCGTCCGAACAATAGACCGACATGCACAAATTCGGATAATTCGGACAAACTTAAATTCGATGAATGAATTATTTTTATAATAAAAAAACAAAAAACTAAAAGCATGTCTTTAATTACTCTTCAATAATCACCTTCTTTAAATTTATTTAAATTTTTTTATGCCTCATTCGATGAAAGCAAAAGTTGCATTGAACATTCTAATATAAATTTCTATAATTAAAATTTAAAAAAAAAAAAAAACAAACAAACAAATACTATCTGCAACTTCATAAACTACTCCAACAGGCCGTTTATACACTACAAAAAAAGCTCTGATTTCAAGTGCATAAACTTGACTTGCCATAACAATGACAACATTTTACATCAATTTTTCTCAACAATCCTTCTCTCAAACCACCTTTTACTTGTAGCAAATTTTCCAGCACCAATGATTGGTGGGCAAACTTGAACTAGACAATTTTCATATACTTTCTCACCATATCAATGAGGAAAAACAAGACAGCAAAAAAAATAAATAAATAAAGTGCAAGACAGCAGCATGCACATTCATCGCTCACAATCGTATAAATATACATATCATGGGCTTACACTTGCAAGATAGCAAAGAGCGGATCAACAATAATCTGAATGGGACTCGTAGAAATCACTTGGGCAAGGTGACATGACCTCTTGCTCTATAAACTGCAGCACCTGTTGCATTGACGGCCTGTCATCTGGGTTTGCATCGGTGCACCTTGCTGCTATTTCTATGATTGCTTCTACGGTTTCTGCATCTGCATCGGAGCACCTTTTGTCCACCACATCTTCCAATCTGTTCTCTCTTAGCGTAGTGTTCATCTGCAAATTCCATGCATTGCAACATTGTAAGCACACGAATCAGAAAAAACTCTTCTTGTGACATTGAAAGGAAATTGGGAGAACATACCCAACCAACGACGTTCAGGCCTCGTTTTACAAAAGAAGTATCAGTGGGTCTCTTTCCGGTTACAAGCTCTAACAAGAGAACTCCGAAGCTATACACATCTGACTTCTCAGTGGCTCTTCCGCTTTGCAAATACTCTGTTTCCAAGTTGCCAAACGTAACAATATTTTGTTAGTTTAACCTTTGATGAAGAACAAGCAAAGCAAGTAATCAGTATACGAGAAAAGTTCTATTTGTATCTGAATGCCATGGACTAATTTAAACATTAATCGTCCAAAAACTGTTTTTGTAATTGAATCAATCATGAATTACAAGCAAAGAATGTACACCAATGAAGAGAAAAACACACATAGACCACATGCTACTTAGGAATTGTTGGTATTTTATTGACATTCACATGAAGCTTGGGAAAAATGGGGTGACAACTTAACACATGCTACAGCTCATTTTCAGACAATTACCAAACTGATATTCATACTAGGAACTATGAAGCCACCCATACGCAAGCATCACAATCATTGGATCAAGGTTTTTTGTGGCCAACAACATTAAGGTTGTGTTTGGATCTTAAATTTGAGAAGAGATTTATGGAGGGAAAGGAAATGCATATGGAAAAGCAAAGAGTAAATAAATAAATAAGCTTCTATTTCATTCACTTTTTCTCTTCCCTTTTCCTTTCCCTCAACAAATTGCTTCTCAAATTCAAGATCCAAGCATTATATATTATTAAAGATAAATTTTACTAACCTCCTCTCTTGCGCTTTGATAGAAAATAGATTGAGCCCCACAAGTTTGGCATAATTACATTGGGCTCCCATAAAGTTTCAATTCATAAAACACTTGGCCCACTTTTTCATTGGTTGTTCGTTAATCATATGGATGAAAAAACATAACATTTTCATCTCGTTTATATTGAAATGTATATTTTAAGGGATTTAGGAACTTGTGAAATTTCTATCTCTCATCCATGCAAAAGACTATAAATGTTTCCTTACTAGCAAATGTGAATTTTTTCTTCTTCAAATATCATAAAAAATTAGAGGATTCAACTGTCTAGTTTTTCTTCCGACAAATATCTCACACCTTACCTTTGTCAAATTCTATTGACATGGGTACTTTTGGAGGATTTGAGTCCATGTAAGATGGAAATGGTGGCTCTTGATGGAGTAAGTACTGTGACTCATAGCCCAAGTTTGAACACAATATTAGGGAGTAATAGATCAAAATTAAGTGGAACGGTGGACGGTCTATGATGAACTCTTTGGGAGGGCAAAGAGTGGTAGATCATACTCCAAGGGAAGTTAAGCCCGATGCATGGTTCACACATGAGGGGAAGATTGTTGGTGGACTCCCCAGGATCCACTAACGTTTTGTTCTTAAGAGAACAAAGGTAAGTCCAAGTCCAGAAAGGTTCTACAATCAGATCAAGACATTTTGCAATAAAGAAAACAAAGTAGCAATAGTAAGATAGAGAACAAATCTAAAGCATAAAACACACCTGGTGCCAAATAACCAAAAGTTCCAGCAACCACAGTTGTGACATGAGCATCCTCATCTACCAAAAGTTTGGCAAGGCCAAAGTCTGAAACATGCGGTTCTAGATTTTCATCAAGGAGTATATTGCTGGACTTTATATCACGATGAACTATCCTTGGACAGCAGTCATGGTGCAAGTATGCCAAACCCCGGGCAGAGCCAAATGCTATCCTTAGACGAGCGTTCCAATTCAAGGATTGCTTTCCTTCTCCATCATCTAAACAAAAAATGGAGATCACATTAGCAAGATCAGAAGTAATTGTTTGGCAAAACACGACAACATTAATTTTCTAACAAATTCTGTTGAAACTTTTATCACATCTGAATTTTGTCTTTCAAAATGTATCAACAATGCTTTAGTGAGTTGGTTCCAAAATTTTGCCATTGAGCAATGGATAGTGCTGAAAATGCAACTTATGCTATTGGAATCTTCAGCAAATGGGAAAAAAAAACAAGATGGTAGCAACAAATTTCAATCATCAAACAAAGTTGAATGGCACTAAAATTTTTGGAATATAAAGGGAGGATGAAGGATGAAGACTAAGAGATAGGTCAGGAACAAACAATGAATTATGGTTTCTTAGATTGGTGGGATAATCAAATCTCATAAAATGATTGAAATCATTTTCAACTTTTTAGGTTTTGTAATTAGCAATCCCGTTTGACAAAACTCCTTTCAATTGTAATTTTATTCGTTCTTTTAATTCAGTGAGACTGTGAGTGTTTAGAAGTGAATCCAACCAAAGTAGTGGAGTTTGTACTAACATTTCGTATCTTGAGCATTCTTTATTTGCCACTTTGTTGACTATGTAATAAAGTTGTTTGATCGCTTGAGTGGTCAGTTGTGTGCTCGAGCGATGAAAGGGAGCATCCAGTATCTCTGCCTGCAAACTGAACTTCTAAGAAGCAAGTTTTATGCCTCGAACGGTGAATGTTGCGCTCAAGCAATTGGCCTAAATGTTTTGCACCGCCTTTACTCACACCGCTAGAGTGGTAAAATATGCTCTCGAGCGGTTTTCGCAAATCTATTTATTATAAAGTTCGCCGTTTGCTGTTTTAAGAATTTAAGCCGTCCAAATTCTGGGAGAGCAGAGCTACCAAGGTTTTTTATATTGGAGGGTATTTTTTTATAAGTGTTTCATTGATGATTTGATAGTGATTGGTAAATCTACGAGTTTCATATAGACATCATTAAGGGGTTTGTCTTTATTTTTTTATTCACAAAGAGAGAGGTGTTCTTCGGTGAATTCCGTGGAACTTGGACCTAAAGCTTTGGTGGATTCCAGAGTGGCTCATTGTCATGGATTCGACATCAACATTGTGGATTCAACGTTGGGTAAGACAATTTCGAGATGAAGACGGTGGTGGATGAGGCACATCGGAGTCCGTTCAATTTGGGCGTAGATTCGCTAGGTAATTGAGGGTTCCCTTAAAACTAGAAAGGTAGAGTAAATTGATCTCATCAAAACAACATGCCCAAGGATGAAAAATAGAAAAAGAACTTGTTAAAAATGAAACATACCATGCAACAAATCATCTAAGCTGCCCATCGCCAAATAATCATATATAAGCAGCTTGGTAGAAGGGAGCCTGCAGTACCCTCTCAAATTGACAAGATTTATGTGCTTGATGCTACCTAAGATCTCTAGCTCCCTCTCAAAAACTTGATCCGATCCTTCACGGCTCCGATCAATCCTTTTAACAGCAAATGTACCACAATCATTCATGACCATCCGATAGACAGTACCGAATCCTCCACATCCCACAACATCCTCCTCATCAAGAGATTCAAGCTTTTCTATGATCTCATATGAGGGATAGGGAAGATCACCATGGAAAGTAACAAGCTTGGTGCCTAGCAACATCGAAAAAAAAAATGATGGTAAAATTTAGAATGTTGCCAGAAAAATTAAAAGAACATAACATAAAATTTGAAGGAACATCTGCCTTACCTTTTCCTTGATGAACTTGTTTTTTGACTTCTGTGTATTTCTTAGCAGCCCTTTCCTTCTTCGATAGCAACCAAATCCAGAGGAAAATAAGGAGCACGATGACCACAAGACCCATTATAGACGTTACAGCAATCAGTACTCCTTTGATATAGTGAGATGATCGCTTTGTAGGTGCTGCAAAAATCATACCAACAGAAAATCTAGCATTGTCAGTTTAAAAAACTTGGATTGTTTTTCATTTAGTGTAAGTGCCAAAGGAGTTTAATCTACAAACTTACCTGCAGCTTCATCACTTTCAGCATGTGGTAGCACTGCAGGGAATCCTAGTGATGTTCTACATGGTTTGTTCACTTGTCGACCACAGAGGTCTAAATTGCCAACAAACCTAAGCATAAGAGTGTGACAGTCATGAAGGATAACTAGTGAAAAGCAATTAATGCAGAATAAGAAAGTCACCAATTTGAATAGTAATCTGCAAACAATACTCAACATGATTTTTATTGCATATAGTTCAAAATATGATAACAACTATGCCATCTTCAGCAAATCAAAAATAACTATTTTTGAATAATTGAAGACAAAAATAAGCAACAAGGTGAAAAGGATCGCTAACTACCAAATAAATGTCTCAACAAATACGTATATATTTGTTTCTGCCCTTTATTTATTAATCTTTCACAAGTCTAAAATGTGATTTGTTTTGAGTCATTTGATATTTACATTCAAGAATGACATCATGGTTTTAAATAACGATATCAGGATACGCATCGGTATTGGTGATACGATCATATATTAGCCGATATATCGGTGAATAATAGATCAAGAGTCCAAAATCCCATTACGTATCAGCCAAATACAATACATAACAACTGATATTTGAAACCCTGAATGAGAATTTTTTATTTTTTTTTATTTTTTTTCTATTCTTTTTTCACTTAAGTTATTTTTGGATCACTTCCTAACCTACCTAAATCTGGAATATTTATCCTTCAATTTCTCCTTCATTGCAATCTCAACATAGCTAGGTTTCAACTTGCAAACTTAAACATCTGATGCTTTTGATCTTCAATGCCAGATAAAAGTTATATGGCTGCGGTTCCTCAACTAGCCTATCTCTTTCCATATTAAGGATCTTGATTCTTTAGGGCTGTATGTGGATAAATGTCCCTTTCTCCAAACATATATCCCTGTGCAGAGTATGTGAGTATCTTTTTTTATATAATTAGCATGCTTAAAAAAACGGTGGTCATACCCAATGCAAAAGGACTCTGCTTAAAATGGGTTACAGAAGAGATAGTAGGCATAAGGATTGAGGGTGGTCGATACTGGACCTCTGGGAAGATGGCAGGCGCTTCAATGGCTCAAGATCACTAGAGTTGAAGTTGGGGAAGACCAAGGCAACCTTAGAGATGGAGAGGGTGGTAGTGAGAGAACTTAAAGACTTCAGTTGTAGGATTTGTATGTAAGATTTGTATGTAAGATAGGCAAGAGCTCTTATCTTGCTTATGATATCTATGATTGATGTGTTGTTATGATGATAATGTTGTTACGTTGTGTGAGAGAAGGGAGGTGTTATTCACAGTGATGATTAGCTCTATCAAGTCTTTGCTTCTGCTCATTACCATTTTTTGACTTGTTTTTAATAGATTCTAAATTTGTAAGAGATAAGAGAATGGAGGTTATTCACAGAGATTATTACTTTTACAGTTGAAATGGGCAGGTTTCAGTTCACAAACTTAAATAGGAGATGCTCGAGTTAAAATATGAGAGAATAAAATAAAAGAATCCAATCCAATCACTCCCCCCCCCCCCCAAAAAAAAAAAAAAAACCACCAACGAAAAGAAAAAAGACCGAAATAAAATAAACAGTACAGTCAATGAGGGACAAAAATTCAAGATTTGGTACTCAAAGATTTGCTTTTGTCTATTCACATGGAATGCTATTAATGATGCTAAACTCAACAACCACAAGTTCCATTTTTCAAAAGATTCTTAGAGATTCTCAACTAAAAAGGCAGGGCAGCAATTCAAGGCTCCTATCATATTGGACACAAATGTCAATGGACACAGAAGAGACTTAAAACTGTTTAACTGTGAACACCTCCATCAAATGTACTACAGTTTGGGGTGGTCTGGGCATTGACTTTTTTAGTGGCTTTTTAGTTTTTTAAGAAAAGACGTGTAGAAAAATAAAGAGTAGGGGTTGACTTTCTGTAGTGATTTTTGGGCTATTTTGTCAAGTTGCCAAACCAGCCCTTAGTCTTCAATACCTTACAGTTAAATCTTTGTCATGCATGATGCTGATATCAGGTTCAACCATTAGAAAGTTAACTAACACATTTATCTTTGTCTTTCCTAAGTAGCAGCCCCATTGGCTAATACCCCAAGCAATTGAGAATTAACCACAGACAGACATAGTGGATATGATGATAAGGGGACTTACGACTTGTTTCCGAAAGTGCTTAGTACTCCAACATCGGGGATTTCACCAGAAAGAAAGTTGGTAGATACATTCCTGAAATAAATTGCATTACATTATCATATTAAAAGCATAAAAATTTATTTTATATTGGTATTAAATAAAAACAAAAAATAAAAAACCACCACATTACACTGCCACAGCTGAACTTACAGATATCGGAGGCGTGTTAAACGAGCAAGAGATGAAGGTATGGCACCCTTAAGAGAATTGCTTGACAAATCTCTGCATAGAATTTCTACTAATATTGAAAAACTTTCAAAATTTTAAAGACCACTGTGTGCTGTGTGCCCAAATTCATGACATCTTGTGATGTTACTAGTCGAAGAATTTTTTACTGAAATGAGAGAGATGTCTTACAGTATGGTGAGTAAAGAAAGATTCCCAACATTTGATGGTATGCCTCCTTGGAGATAATTAGCCTTCAAGTACCTATAGATATTAATACAATGCATTTTCACTTATTTTTATCAATGCGCACAAGTAACACAAAATCCACAAATATACAATAATGGAATGTATACAAATTACAATCAATTAATGGAGAGAGAGAGAAATCCATTGCCACTCACAAGGCTCTGAGTTCAGTGCAATTGGTAATTTCATTAGGAATAACACCATGTAAGCTGTTCTGGTGAAGTGCCCTGTGGTCAAAAACAGAAAAAAAACAAAAACAAGAACAAAAAACAAAGTGACATTAGAATTCAGAAATTGTTTTAGGGTTACTTATACATTTGGGACAACAACATATAGTGGGTATTGCACTCACAGTCTTTGTAATCTACTGAGTTTGCCAATGCTTGGAGAAATCATCCCTCCAAGTTGCATGAAAGGCAAGTTTCTTCAGAACCCAAATCAAGAAGTAGAGTCATGCTCAGAAATAAGCAAGAAAAAAGAGAGTTACAAAAAATAAAAATAAAAAGAAGGTGAAAAAGATAAGAAAAGGGTGTGAGATTCATACATAGAGAGAACTCGTTGGTCATTGAGATTACAAATGACACCAGTCCACTGGCATGGAGATTCATCAGAATCATTCCAGTTATTGAGAAAGTTCTTTGTATCATTCAAAGTGCTTTTGAATTCCAACAATGCAATACCTAAAACCAAACAACCAGAGACCTTAAAAAGAACATAAATTTCAAACTAAAATAAATAAATAAAAATCAGAAAGGGGGGATGAGTTGAAATGGAAAATGTGATTACCATCTTGATTGAGAGCAAGAGAGAGAGTGGTCAAAAGGGTTGCTGCCAAAATTGCTGAGAAGACACAAACCAACATACCCATTTTGCTTCTTTGATCCAAATGGGCTCTCTCTGGGTAGCTAATTTTTGGGACAGGTTTATTGTGCACACACTGCACAGAAGAAGAGAAAAACTGTGATGATGATGGTGGGGTTCATTTGGTGCACACTTCACAGAGCAAGAGGAAGTGTGCTGTTAGACTCTGATGATTATGGTAGGGTTCATTTGTTGAGATTTTGAAAATTGTGATCATTATAGTGTTTACTATGAAATTTTTAATAGTCATTAGATAAGTGTTGTTTGGCATAATCTAAGTGTATTTATTTAAATGAATATATTTATTTATATTATATTATATTATTTTATTTTATTTTATTTTTTTGTAAAAAATTAAAAAATATATTTATTTAGATTATTTTACTGTCCAATAAATTTTAATTAAAGGTGAAATAAAAAAAATTAAATTTCATAAATCTTTAACATTGTATCATGTAATAATAAAATAAAATCAAACACAAAATGTTCATATTATTTGTGAGATTTATTTTCTTTAAATCTTATTCATTCATTTATTTTTTATTTCTATGTTATTAGACTTGTTAAAAAAAATTAAAACTTTTAGCCTTCGTTTGGGAAGAATTTTTTTAGCCTAATTTTTTTACTATTTTAACTTAGTTAAAAAATTCTGTTTAGAAAAAACTTTTGGCTTTTTTATAATTTTGTGAGGAAAACAGTGAAATAATTATAGTTTGAATATGACATTTTATCTTATTATTTTTTTAACTTATTTTATGTCTATGACACAAGAAAAAGTACACAAAAAATATAAAATCCAATATATTTGTTAATAATTTCATTACAGATTCATTTATTTTATAAAAAAAATTATAATTTTCAATATATTTTAACACATATTTTAATATTAAAAATATCTAAATTGCATGTGTTAACATTTGTCAATTTTAAATATAGAAACATACTCCTAAAACTAAATTACTATTCACTTTAAAGATTTGACATATTATATTAGTAAGAGTCTTAAATTCTTAATCTCTTTGTTTTAAATTTAAATTTAATGAAAAAGTATTTAAAAATCATCAATGTTTTTATTAATTGTTTATGAAATTAAGATATACACTTTTTTATCAAATTTATTTGGTGAAAATTTTGAAAAGCAAAGCATTGTAGATAATTTTATTTTTTTTCATCAAATTTAATTAAATGGAAATTTTGAAATAAGAGAAAATTTTTATAAAGATTTTTAATGAAAATTCAATGGAAGAGTTGGGAGTAATTAATATCAAATTAAATTTTTTATTTAATATTAAAATCAAATTAAATAAAAGTAAGTAATGAAAGATTAGAGATGTTCTAAGAGCAGCTTCACCTAAAATTTGTAGAATTTATATATTATTATCCATTTAATATTTTAATTTATTTTTAAATATTATTTGTATATTTTATAATTTTAAAATAATTTTTACACGCAGAGAGGAGAAATTATAATTTGTTTCATGAGCAAATTCAAATAAAAAATGTTATAAATCTTAAATTTTCTAGTAAATAAATGATTAAATGTCTCTTATGAGTATATAATCTACAAAATTGTGCATCTCACACTCATGTGAGACGTTTAGTTATTTATTTAATAAAAAAATTTATATCCCTAATATTATTCAATTCAAATGATACTTCAATATGTATTTTATTGATTAAAATAATAGGTCCCATCGCAGAGGGAGGATTAGTTAAAAATTTGACATTTTTGAAAGAATTAATGACAAATAACTTGTATGAATATGAGACTCATATATGACTCTCACACACAAATAAGACATTTGTTAAAATTTTTAGTGGTCGGTTGAGATGACTTAAATAAGTGTATTTTTTATTTTTTTATGAAAAAATATGTAAAAAAATAGAGAGGTGATATGATGTAAAAAAATAAAAAAATAAATTATTTTTAAGTTGCCAAACTTGATTAAGCATGCCAATTACACACCAATACAAAATATTTGCTAAAAATTTGAGTAGAAATTTTAGAATTTTTATTATTTTTGTTTTTGAAAGTGCATAAAAAGTTGTGCAGAGCGAAATATAGCCGTTGTCCAGGAATTCAAAATATTGAGTTATAACACTCTGGCGTACTCAAAAAAACTTGATACTCGCTGTGTGTAAATGACACGTATAACTCTTTTTAGTGTCTTCGAATGAACTCGCCAGATGTCGAATTGCCGCGGAAAGAATTAGGTTGCGTTTGGTAGAATTTTGTAATTATGATTTGAGAGGATGAGTTGTAATTTGAGTTTGTGAGGTTTAAAATTATGATTTGAGTGTAAAAAATTTATTTGGTGAGAGTTTTAAAAATAATTTTGAAAAGAGTTTTGAATTGAATGGAGAATATTTAATGTGACATTTGATATTTGATATAAAAATTTATAAGTCATAACCAAATATACAACTCAAAATTATTTTAAAACACATAAAAAATTTTAAAAATTTTTAAAAATATTTTTTCGAATACATAAATATTAACATATCAATTGCAACAAAAAAAAATAAAAAATCACTATTCCGGTCAACCGGTCGATTAGACCAAATTTAAAAAAATAAAATAAAAAACACACTCTATTTGACAAAATTCTCTACAGAATTATAAAAAATTAATTCCACAACTCTATCCAAATATCATATTCAAACCAATATAAAAAAAAAATTAGTTTAAACACATAAACAAAAATAGCCTTAGTTTTAACTCTCTAAGAAAGTACAAAGTTTCGGCTTTTTGTTCGAAAAAGTATAAAGCTGCACTGCCCCAAGGTCTGAGTGAACCGATAGATTTTAAAAAGTATTGCGGACAGGCTAACGTACAATCGGGCGTTTGGAAATTACAAAAGTCTTTGAAAATATTTTTAGATAAGTGATAAAGTTTATATCTTGTTTGACATTTTTTCTTATTTAGAGGATTTTAACATTATATTTGGACAAATGAATTAATGAATAGTAATGACTAAAATAATTAGCTTAAAACTTGAATTGACACACGTAAAGAAAATGGATTAATAGTTTGAACTTGACCGAACGTTATGCCAAGTTTCTTGTGTCAAAGGTCATCAAACATCAATTCATGATATTTTTGATGTCCTTGAAGCGTCTCAACTTCCTTTTTTGAGTCCATTCCATGACAAAATAGAGGGATGATCATTTGCATTATATTCATTAATTTTTGTCCAAAAAGATATCCGAGATCATCAAGCGATCATATCACTTATTGATGGTTTTGGAATCAATCATAACCTTCTCTTGAGGCTTTCCCATGACAGAGAAGGAAGGAAGGACAAACAGAGCTTGAAAATGCTCTATCTGCACTGATTTCACCTCAAAGCACAGAAACAGAGCTTTGCACCAAATTGATGCACGACCGACCATCAGTGATGCATGACCGGCCCTTGGTGTGTGGCCAGCAGTGCAATTTTGCAAAAACAGAGGCAGTGGCTAAAGGTGAAACAGAGATGGCTTGAGCAGACATAGTAGCTTTCAGGCGATACGTATGCAACCTTCATCCATCTTCCAGTATGATCTTATCAAATGCGTTTAATTATTTAATTGTTTTATTAGCATAATAAATTGTGTTGTAATATTTAATTAGTCTAATTAGTTGTAGCTAATTAGTTGGTATTGTATTATTTAATTAGCTTAACCTAGTTAAGTTCTTAATTAGCTTAGATAGTTAGTTAATTATTCATTTCAAGTATTGTAATAATTAGTTAATTAGTTTAGCTATTTATTCAAACTTTGTAAATAATTAGCTTAATTATCTTAGCTTAGCCTGGTTATTTAGCTTATTCATTTGGACTCTCCTTCGTGAGAGCGTAATGTAATAACGTGTATGTCTTCCAACCCTACATTTTCTCCTTTTTATTTACCCGCTTTTGATGGTTAGATTAGGGACATATTTAAATTAGCATACATTATGCTTGCATACATTCATCTTGCCTTGCATGCACCAAGGCTCGGCGCATCATTCAAACTGCATTGTCATTTCAATACTTCTCTGAATACGTGTTTAACCGTATGTTATCAAATTGATCCATATGTCATATTAGTAGCCGAGCCTATTAATTGCATTCTTTGCATGTGTTGCATTAGACGTCTTGTATAGTTAGGAATCATGCATATTTTTCTAACTCTTTTGTTTTATCTTAACTTGGAGTACTAGGTGACTTTTTTTAGTGCTTTAGTATACTTGCATGAGTGTGAGTGATTGCCATGACTAGCATGATTGCCATGAGGCTAAATACTTACTTGATTAACTGCTTGAATGCTTGTGGATGAAGGCTTGTTGTTTGAATTGGAACGATTCAACGAGTGTATGTTTTAAGCCCACTATGTCTAGTGGCAAATTCGCAATTTTAAGCCCACAATGTTTAGTGGTAAATTCGCAAACTTTAAGCCCACCTGAGGTGACAAATTCAAACCCTTTTCACAAAACAAATATGAAATTGAGTTATTCTAATTCGGGCAAACTAGTCTATACTTGCTTGTACGCATCACATAGTAATGCTAGCTTAATAACCGGAACATGAACACATAATGTTGATAAAAAATCATATCATGATTAGTAAAGGCTGATCTTTGATCGGGCGAGCAGGGGTGCTCAATTCATGACCTCCCTCTCTCGTACCTAAGTTCTCGAGTCAAGGCAACTTTGGCTATGACAAACACGTGGCTTTTGGCATGAGTCATAAGTTTCCTAAATTTTTCCAAAATAAAATATTTAGGTGGCCACTCTGTATCTGGCAAAGCAGTCCAATTTTGGCATTTTTAATTCAAAATCAATTTTCTAAATGATTTGTCAGATTTGGACTCTTTGGTGTTTATCAATTTCACATTGCACTTGTGAGATTAGATTCAGAATCGCGAGAGTTCGAATTGTAGGGCTTTTTTTCAAACCTCCGAGAGGGGGCACGAAAAAACCGAGCTACACTTAGGCATGAAAGGGGAAGGTCATTAATTGAGCACCCCTGCTCACCCAATCAAAAGATTAGCCTCTACTGAGGCAGGATATGATTTTTATTAACTTCATATGTTCATATTCTAATTATTTATTAAATTCTAAAATTTACTATGTGAAGCAAGCAAATATAGACTGTGTCTTTTGTTTTCAAATAATTTGATTTCATATATTTTGAAAAATGTTCTGAATAGTGCAATCATGAAAATC